CAACGGTGTGTACTACTCCCTTCAGAGGACAGCACAAACAGGCTCTAACCAGCATAGAAAAAGAAGTGAGGGGCGGCGTTGCACAACTGAGCAAGAAGATTAGAGTCTCTAGTTTGAGAAACAGACGCCTCACAGGTCCCCAACTGGCATCTTCATTAAATAGTTCCCGCAGTAGCCTGTTTGTGCTGTCCTCTGAAGGGAGTATTTATATTTGAATATTTATACACCAGCTTATTGATTTCTTGGATTGTGACACTTTTGACCCTGCATATTAATCAGTCCAGCTTATATTATTTTAAGTTGTTAATAAAATGGATCCAGAAATGTTTTAAGGTTTTTCAAGGTCTGCTGTTGTCTGTGTTCAGGAGCTGTGTGAGGACCCTCACCTGTTTGTAGATGGCATCAGTGCACACGACCTGCATCAGGGACAGTTGGGCAACTGTTGGTTTGTTGCAGCTTGTTCCAGCCTGGCATCCAGAGAGTCTTTGTGGCAAAAAGTAAGTATATCTGCCTGTGGGCTGTACTTTTTTCTTTCTGTGTTTGTGTATAGATATACAATTTTTTTTATGCATCTTAAATGTGTGTTCTTATGTATGCAGATAAAGTCAAATAATAAAGGCAAATAATTTCATTATACAGCATTTTGCAGCCAAGGAGTGTTACAGTTATTTTTCCTTTTGGAATTGTCTCTATTGACAGTTTTTCAGGGTTTCTTAAAACACGGTTCATCCATTTTTGCACTGCTTCACCATTTTTATGTCTTGTTCTTGTGCTTCGCTATAACACACTACTTCATACTACTTTGTTGTGCAACTTAAAAAATTAACAATAAATTTAGACAAAGAGAAGTATCCAAAACATGAGATAAGTTTGGACATATAACCTCAAAGAAACACCATTCAAATTACCAGCTGTTTTCCATCCGTTTAAATTTTAAACCAGCTGTTTTCAAAACAGCTGGTTCACAAACTGTTGTGAAGTCTGTAAAAGCAAACATTTAAAGTTTAAATGTTTGCTTTTACGTACTTCATAACAGTTTGTGTCCTTTTTTAGGTTGCTGGTGGGTTACAAGTATAAGTTTAGTTCTTTGGTAAATTGTTTTTTCAACAAAACACTTTTTTATTTAGAGACATATCTACACCCCTTTAATTGATGTTCCCTCACAAGCAAAACCAGACCTCAGTGAGCTGCCATGTCCAGAAGGAAACATGTAGGAAAAACCAGCCAACAAGTCAAAAAGAAACTCTGAAAGTCAATAATAGAGCAGAAGAATCGACATTTAAAAGAATTATCTGCCAGTTTAGCTGCTTGGATGTAAGGGCCCTGTCACACCTTCCCGATTTACCCAGCGTATACCCCGATGTCTCAGGATCTCCTAAAATGCTGGCATGCGTTGAACTTTCTTTGTATTTTTTTAATTTTGGGGCATATACATAGAGTATTCGCAACGAGTCCAGAACTTATGTCAGACGACAGCCTAACCGCTGCTGGAGGTTTATTCTTGTTAAAAAGGAGTTTTTCCTCTCCACTGTCGCTACAAGCATGCTTAGTGGGGGGGATTGCTTCAAGTCAATGAGTCGATGCAATCAACTGGTTATTCTTAGATAGAAAACTTTGAATCAATTTGACTGGATGATCTGGTGAACTGGAAAGTGCTTTGAGATGACATGTGTTGTGAATTAGCGCTATAGAATTAAACTAAATTGAATTGAACTAATGCATCATGCACGGCAGCGTAATGATGCACAAACATCATTTTGTGGGCATTATTAAGCATTATGAAGCATCAGTTATGCCCCACATATGAGCATGCGCTGGCATATGTTGGGAAATTTTGAGGATGCTCAAAATTTCTCGATGTACTTGACGTATATTGACGTGTACCAGCGTACTTCAGCATGCTCATAATTTATACAAAACGTACCCATAACTTATCCAACGCATGCCAGCGTTTTTGCCAGATTTTCGCTACGCCAGGCATGTGCTGGTCTAAATCGTCAAGGTGTGAGAGGAGCTTAAAGTATATAAAAATTATAGAAGTCTGTTTTTTTTCATTTGTTTACAAACACATTGAGAAAAACTTTTCTAAACACCAACAATACATAGACTCAACACGTTTCAAAAACAAACACTGCTAAAGTGCAGTATTAATTATCCAATGATGAACGTTTATGTCCATTAGTGACCATTATTTGAAGATGCAAAGATCCGAGCATTAATGCGCCTCCCTGGTTTCAGGGTCTCTGAGGACAAACTGGAAGCACTCAGTCTAAATGAGCGTCAGATAAATGTGGTTTTTCATCAGGGTGTAACCTGAAGAGGAGTGTTTACTCTGATCTGACCAGCAGTCAGTGCAAATGGATGTAAGGATTGAGGAGGAACAAAGATGCAAGGTGCAGATGGATGGATGGAAACCCTGCGTAGCTCTGATTTGGATGCAGACACATCAGCATATGTTACCTCTACCACAGGTAACGCCTAATCCTTAAAGGGAAAGTCTGGTTAACAAGGAATAACTAATGGATCATTATTTATACCTAAAATTAATATGTTTGCGGTGATTTAATGAATTTGGCGTTATTCAGTGAAAAAATAAAAACAATTTTCGCTTTGATCACCGAGTCTGGGAGCTAGGGGTGTAAATCACATCCATCATGGCGATTCGATTCAGTATCGATTTCCTGACCCAATGATTCGATTATTTTCGATACTCAAGAATACACCACGATTCGATTCAATTCGATTAATTGGTTAATTTT